GTGGAATTCCTGATACCAATTTTACACACCCATCTTCATTTGTGTAGTGACTGAAACTAATGTGTGGTGTTATTTTAACACAATAATTACATTTTTGTATCTAGTGGAAATTATAAAATACTTATGGTTCAAACTCTTTGACAGAAACAGATTAACCAAGCGAAAACATGCTAAGTAAAAGAAAAACTAAGTCAAACTCATTTTTTCACACATGAACCATTTCCTTTATATGACTATCAATTGAAGTAGGTTTATTTCAGTGTTTTGGATAGATTTATACATCACACTATACTTTATTGTTGTGAGACCCACATGGACTATGTAAAAGTTCAGGTCTGGATATTATCCCTAGGAGTCTGCTTCAGTTTGTTTCTTTCTTGAATTGTATCTATACATATAGGAAAGCTTATGTAATGGCCAGTGCTAAACTCCTCTAGCATGTAAATAAATACAAATTCTGACCACAATTTCCAGGCCTGAAAACATATGAAATTCTTTGTTACACCTGCCCTTAAAGCAGTCTATGCAATTACATAGTATGAATCTAAAGTATGTGCAAATAAGAAACTCTTGCATGTTAACATTTTATTGTACTACAACTACATCTTAACTTGTCATACAATGTCTTAACTCATTTGTTTAAATAAAATATAATTAACAGTACTGTCTGAATGAGAGCTTGAAACATTGTACCTTTATAACTGAAATTGTGAGAATCTGAAGGTGAGTTTCTTTGAGTGAATGACTTAAATATTCTCTCTTTTTTTTTTTTCTGTAGGCTGAAGATTTTGATTAATGCTGGACATGGAAGCAGATGTCAGAGAAATTAGCAGGTCATATATTAGCTCTGAATTGCCTTCTAGCAGGAGTATATCCATTGCCAAGATGAGATGGAAAATTCTGGCAAAGGTGGAGAAAGTATTTTTTATTTGTGAGCTATAGTCAGGTATATGTTAACTTGTAGTGTTTAGCTGCACTTGATGTGCAGTAGTATCATGTCAAATGTTCATCTTTACATGTCTAGTTGATTTCATAAGTAATATTTTATTTACAAGTTTTACCAGACTATTTTCAAAAACACTAATGTAAGGTTGCACATTTGAACTCTTGCTCACAGACCATCAATAAAATAAAATGTCAAAGTGAGAACTTGGAATGTACTTTTTATTATTCTTGCTTTCAAATTTAAAAGTAGAAGATTATTTTTAGTCGATGGAAATGTATTAGTATTGTTGTGAGAATGGTGTGAGGATTTTATGTGTCTCATCTCTAGAATCCTCTCTTATTCTTAATGAAATTAAAGTACAAAGCTTTAGTAGAAGAGTCTTTTTGCTTAAATATGAAATGAATGAATAGTCGCGTTAAAAATGATGTTTATATTGGAGATATTAAAACTCAGTCTACCAATTTCATAATTCCTTAAACTTCTTTAAATATAGAAAATTTTTTATATCAGTGTGTATCAGTTGCAAATTGTACTTCAACTGGGCTCTACAGTATGATTTCAAACTCTTTACATGTGCATTTGTTTTTGTAAAAACTTCCTCTCTCTCACTATCTAATGACAACCATGTTTTTTCAGCTGAGAGACTGGGCATATCTAGTCAAACTTGCTGCTTTGAAGAAGGTTGCTTTAAAAAGTTTTTAACAATATTTTCCTAAACATTTGTACATAAATGATTCTATACTAAGAAAAATTCAACATTAATCAGAACAAAAAAGTAATTTGAAATTAAAAACCACATTTCTCCTATTCTTATTTTTGATTAGAAAGAATATAGGTAAATATAACTGGCATACTATCAGTTATTGTCATTTCTTTTAAGTTATTGTTTATCATTTTTATCAAGTTAAAAAAAGATGAATTTTAAGCAGTTTTTTTTATGCATTCATCTATTATTATTAATTTCAAACTAGAAGTTTATTGTATAAAAAAAAATTGTAGTCAGGGTTATTTTTCCTTAAAACATTTATTTAGCAGAAGAAATATGATAAGAATTTGCCATTTATTCCATTAGAATCATTCCTTAACTCTAAAACAATTATTATCCAATACCATCTTATCCATGAGTTAACAATTCATAAAGAAAGTAATTCTAAGTAACAGTATGGGGCTGCATTTCCAAAATTTTTACAGATTCTGTTATTTAAGGTACTACAATATGACTAACCATATCTGTCCAGAAAATAGACTTCTTTCAAGTAACATGACCAGTTGCATATGATTTGTATTTCTTATATAATTTTTCATACTGGGACATTAATTTGCTCTTGGAATGTTTAAGCCACGTGATTAAGCACTTTGACTATATGTAATACCATTTATGATCTTTTCAACAGATTGTGTAATTTACAGAAATACCAATTATAGCCCTTTTTATATTTGAAAATATAATTGTCATTTACTGTGAGTTACCATTTGTAGTAGAGTTTTATTGTCATTAAGTTACTTTTCAGGCACTACAAGAGGGCCGGGTGCAAGATTTGGATGTTGTTCCAGGATCAGTACGACAGTTCTCTACCTTTGGTCTTGTTCGAATGATTTCTTTAAGGGAAAATGAAGCGTGTGATCCAGAGGGAAGATGGTATGAATGCTCATGTTCAGAAGATGCCCATTTTCGGCTTCATATAAGGTAGAAAATTTCTTAGGTATTTTTTTTAGATCTGTACACAACAGCATCAACTGTTATGAAAATTACAAAATGTATATGAACTAAAAAAAATGTAGCCTTTGATAACTGTAGTTATACATTATTCAGAAATATCTTTTAAGCACTTAAGTGTCATGTTTTTTTTGCTTGTATTTGCAGTTTTATGGTTATTTGAAACTTTCTGAATAAAAACAAAACTTAGTTTTTTATTTTTTATTTTTGAATATTTATTACTTGATTTCCATACACATGTGCATATAAGAAGGAAGCTCTTTTCACATAATAGTTTTATATAAACAAACAAAATAAAAAACATAAAATGTAGTGTTAGTAATGATAACTTTAGTAGTGTTAGTGTTCTAAAATTTTGTCCAAGCCTGTTATTCATTTTTTAACTTTTTATAAGCTTCTTGTGTAATACACTCAAACTTGGGGCAACACACCCAGTCCTTTCTGATTTTTTCCCCTTTATATCACATTTTTAGCAGAACACTCTTTTAGGGCCTTGTTTCCTCTCACCAGAAGGTATGATGTCTGGGAAGGACCATTCTGTTATTTGTAGTGGATTTAGTTGTTTTATAGGATGTCCACCTTTGAATAGAAAGTCTGAAGAGGGTATTTTCCGTGATCTTCTTTAACAGTTCCATCCTGTACTCAAGATGTTTCCTGATGCCTTCTATTTTGAGGTATATCTGAATTCCAGATGGCCAGGTCAAGAAGATGAAAAAAATCTTTTTTTGTTTTATTTCTTTTTCTGATTCCTTATGATCTACCCTATCACTTGTGCCCATTGTGTCATTGTAATCAATAATCATTTTGAGCTTTTTCTTCATTTCTCTTTGCTCTTGGGCTTCAACAATATCCATGTTATGAACAGTTAAGAGCAATGAAGCATTTTATTTTTGTCTTACCACTTCATAACTATCATCTTTCCTCATTGGTATACTACTGTCTTACCTTCTCTTTTGGTTTCAACTTTTTTTTTTGGCTTATCCTTTCTCATTAGTCTAATTGTTCCTTATTGGTCAGTTGTATAACAAGTGGGGGTGTCTGCAAGTTTAAAGACGTTGTCTATAGCATATCATTTTTATTTAAGGCTGCATTTTAGTGAAATTACAACTAATTTTGCTAAATATCTGCAGTTTTGTTTGTTAAGCTGCATCCTAAAATCAGATATTAAATCTTCCCACAGTAACAAGTAGTTTTGAATAGAGAAGTAGCAGCAGCTCAGTAAAGCTGAGAAAGCAAGCCTTTCGGGAATACCGGGCAATTTTGTTTAAACTAACTGCTGCCTCCTTTCTAGCTATTGTGTCTCTTTAGATGTTATTCACAACACTTCT